AACAGAATCCACCAATGAGCTCTGCTCTTCACAGACTTTCACAAACTTTTTGTTTCCTGATGAATCAGATGGCAGAAGTGAACGTAAGGTCAACAGCAGCTGTCCATCGGAAGAATCAAAAGAAGGGTTTTACTTGGAATTTCGGGTTGGATCCCATCTTACATTGCATTTTTGGCGGACATTTCTGGAAAGTACCGAAAAATTTTCAGAAATCTTGGGACTTTTGCAATTTTCGTCGTTCACCCGTTTAAGAAGTATGTAAAAGGTGAGTTTCAGCCCTTCGAGCCGCTTTCCACCTTGAGAGTTGAAGAGTTATTTATCAGATGAGATAAGACATTTGATTCTTATATCATTTATTAGAATCAGAAGCGCTGCCAGCGTCAATGGCAGACAGCACCTATGACTCACTCATGAAAACCGTCCGATGGTGAACGAGGTATTGTAAAAATGTTTATATCGATTTTTTGATATCAGTGACGTCATTGTTCTTTATATAAGACATGATACAATTATACATTAATGATACAATATTCACATAAACAACCCGAACCGACGGCGGTAAGAACCAGAATGAAATCAACTGTGCTGGAGGCCAAATTGATACGTCCACCTAGAAATCGTTTAATCAATTTTGCTTTGTGCAACAAAAGAGTGACACTTGTGAAGGTGATATAGGAAATACCTTGAAAATATGCCACATCTTTTTTCGATATTCGGAGAGCGCAGCAGGAAGTGAAGACCCTTCTAATAAGCCGCCGACTGCAAAAGTTCAAGTTAAGCTTTCCAAAACCACATCGGAAAGCTGGATAAAAAACATTTTGAAAAAATAAAAACTGAATTCTGAATAAAAATATACTACAACGCAAAATTATAATTCCACCTATTGATTTTCCGAAAGTTCGTGTAAAAAGATCTTGTCGAAGCTTTGAGAGCCTTCGGAGATGGAATGTGCAAACTACAGGCACCAGCTCGTAATGTTTAATGCCTTACCAGTCTCACGAAAACAGTTCGTGACCCTTAA